AAAATCAAGAAAAGCCCTGGCATTTACATCTTTCCCAGAAAAATACTCTGGCAGCAACACAGAGAGTTCAGCCATGGTCCTGTTGCACACCAAACACCACTAGAATTGAGGTTAGGGAAATGATTGAATGATAGCACAGCCAACTCCTTGGAGTACAAATTGATTATTACAGCAATCAGGGTGGATCAGCTAGAGCTATTACAGACATAGCAGACAAAAATAGTGGTAACAATGGTGGGGAACCAGCAAGCCAAAGAAACAGAGAGCTCTTAAAACTTACGGACTCACGTGTTTGATGCATCCAAAGATGGGAAGATTCAAAATGTAGTTATAACTACTCATGATATATGCTACTATGGCATTTTAATGTTATCTGTGCATTTCCTAATGTATAAAATTTGGAGACATTTAAAATAAAATTGTAGGGGCCGGGGACATGGCTCAGCAGAGTAAGCGCTTCCCTGGCAAGTGCAAGGGCCTAAGTTCAATCCCCGGTTCTGATAGATAGATAGATAGATAGATAGATAGATAGATAGATAGATAGATAGATAGATAGATAGATAGATAAATAAATAAATAGTAATATAACTGATATGTGTAATTATAACATGCAGTGGTGATCGTCATCAAATAAGAGGAGGTGGGTTTAAAATTGAAACAATTTTAAATTGTTGTGACTACCGCTCAGTGACCAAATGCTAACAATTAGTGAATCTACCTAAAGGGAACGATAGTCATCACACTATTCTCCTACCTTTAGGATAAGTTTAATGGCTTAAATGAGGTAAGAAAATAAAAACCATAAAATGCTCTCAGAAGGGGTCTAGGGTGGCGATGCAGCTCAGTGGGAGAGTGCTTGCTTAGCAGGTGTAAGGCTTTGCATTTGAGCCCCAGCACAGTCAAGTAATAAAAATACCCAAAGTCTAGTGATTATCAAGATGGTAAGATTTTCCAGTAGAGATGCTGAGTCTGTCTGTGCTGGATGATTAAGTTATAGTTTAGTTATTCTAAATTACTCAAAAGCAAATTAAGGTGGTTAGCAATCCCTTCTAATTTACAGTTGTTCATTGTCATTTTTTTCTAGTCACCCAAATAGAAAATAGGAACATTACCCCAGAGTAGCTAAAAACTATGTATTATGTCCTATGTTTTCTTTCATGGTAGTATGTAATTTAAAAAAAAAAAGTAGGAACTCACTTGTGACTGCTTAAAATATTTCCAGTATACATCCAAACATGTGTATTTTTTTTTTTTTACAGGAACAATTTACAGCTATGAGGGATTTGTATATGAAGAATGGCCAAGGGTTTGCATTAGTATATTCTATTACAGCTCAGTCCACATTTAATGATTTACAGGATTTAAGGGAACAGATTTTACGGGTTAAGGACACAGAAGATGTAAGTACTTTTTTTCTATAAGACATACTGTCTTGAAGCTAAATAAAAAATGTTCGCTTTCTTATCAGTACAAAATGTGGTTTTTGGGGTTTTTTGTTGTTGTTGTTGACAGAAGTGGTGGTTGGTTTTGAGGCAGCATCTTGCCGTGTATTCTGGCTGTCCTTGAGCTTACTGTGTAGCCCAGGCTGGCCTTCAGCGTCCAGGGGTCTTTGTGCCTCAGCCTCCCATGTGTTGGGGCATTACCCAGTACTACTGTACGTAGTGGAGGATTTGAGAAGTTTCCACCACATGTCAGAAAGAGCCCCTGTCACCAAAATAAACTAACTTTTAAGATTAACCAAGAAATTATATGATGAGTTGTTTTAAAAATGACATGTGGTAAAGTGCTTGTTGTGCTATGTGAATAAAAAGTGAGAAAGAAAAGTAGTCAAAAGAATATA